TTGCGGCGCCTGGTCCTGAATACAAGGATGGCCATATCGACGTATTGGATGCCTTGAAGGCTCTGGATCTTCGGATCCCCGTCCCTATTCCTTATCTGCTAACCATTTCCGAAGCGGCTAACGAAAAATGAATCGAACGATGCTTCAAAAACAGGCGCCGATTCGAGGAAAGTCGAAAGGGTAAAAAGTCGGTCCTACGGGACCTACCCACAAACGAGGAGTCGCAGCCCTCGACCTCAAAGGTGCACGAAGCCGACCGAATAGGAATGATCCAGACCGTAGACTCCGCCTCGGAAAAACCCGAGGTATTCCTCCGAGCCTATCCTATAACCTGGAAAAGCGTTGAGTGTGACTGCGAGGTCTGGGGAAATCCCTCGGCCGCCATCCTAGATTCGGGAGCGTCAGCGGTCGCCATTTCTTTGGAGGTTGACGAAACAGTTGGGAAGGGAGGGGCAGGTTCAACCCCTCCGACCGGATGAACTGTATATATCCGCTACGGAAGACAGTATTCATTGTAAGGGGCGAATAACGAACGTGCCTATACGGGTGGGGCGGGTGCATTGTTTGTGCGACGTGATCGTGCTGGATGTACAGGCGTATGATTTTGCTAGGCATTCCGTGGCAGGCGACGGTTGGAGCGCGAATGCACTTTGACAGCTGTAAGGTGGTGCTCAGATCGGCCCACCCCAAACCCTAAACGATACCAATGAGACTGGCGGTGCGCATACGCACCCAGCCGGCGCCTCGACTCACCACGAAAGCCCATCAAATCAACATGATCTGATGCCTGTCACCAGGCGAAAATGAACCATCGACCGAAACTGACGAGGTTGATGCACCCGACCGATATCCGATCCGAGTTCAGGATCGGTGGCGCCATTCTTGGCGGCGAGAACCACTGGAAATAGTTCGGAGCGAGTCCAACCGGTCGCACGCGTTCTCCTCCGTGGTGCAGGGGGAACCCCTGCTGAGGGTGTCCCGAATAGCAGACCTTTCGGAACCCCCCGCGTCCTTATATCTCAGGACGGACCCCCTACCTGAAAGATTTACCGAGCTGAGGGGGCTGTGTGATTTATCTTTTCGACCTCCACGGCCCCTACTCACGAATGAGAAAGCCGCGATACTTTTGAAAGAGGGGGTGTCGTTTCAACCCCGAACAAGGGAATATCGGTGGGGACCGAGGGAACTGACGCAGGCCTTTTCGGTAGAACCCTCGGCCGAACCCGAACTGGATAGTGACAGTGACATGGAAAGCGAGCCGATGAGCCCGGCGGACAGTCAACTTATTGCGACTGTCCTTTCGGCGAAAACGGACAACTCTTTGTTTGGGGCCTCGCTCGATGCCAACTCAGCAGTCCCCACGGTTACGACAACGGTCTCCCTTCCTGGGGGAACCGTAGAAGTTCAGTTACCAGCCCGTGTTCCGGATGAATACCGACGCCTCCTCCTGGCAGTTATACGGGCATATCCTGAGACCGTCAGTATTCAGGACCACGACATAGGGCTAACCCCTTTGATACAGCACGCGATTCATACCGGGGATCACGCACCGATACATTGCCGACCGTACCGATATTCCCTTAAAGAAAGACAACTGGCGTTGGAAAGGGTACGGGAATTCGAGCGGTTGGGGTGGGTCAAACCATCGCTGGGACCGTGGTCTTTCCCGTGGTCCTCGTGCCAAAACGAAATGGTTCGGTCCGGGTATGTATCGACTATCGGAAATTGAACACTATCACTACCAAAGATGTGTATCCCTTGCCGTGAATCGACGATTTGTTGGATACTATCGGGGCCGCTCGAGTCTTTTCCAAGTTCGATATCCGACACGTTTTTCACCATGTCGCAGTCCGACCGGAGGACCGACCCAAAACCGCTTTTGTCCTATTTGAAGGCACGTGGCAATGGGTCCGGTGTCCCATGGGAATTTGTAATGCCCCTGCAACGTTTCAGCGGGCCATGAATATGGCCTTCGCTGAGTTCGTTAAGAAAACCCGACTGACCCAGCCCCTGATCAATTTCTGCATGATTGTGTACATGGATGATATTTTGGCCTTTTGAAAAACACACGAGTACCACGTGGAACACATTGAGTGGGTTTTGCATGCACTAAAAGATGCGGGGTTCAAAGTGGCCTTGGAGAAAAGCGAGTTCTTCTTGTCAGAGATCTTATTCTTGGGGTACATCGTCACGGTTGATGGACTAAAACTGGATCCAAGGAAGGTGGCAGCAGTTCAAGAAGCCCCGGCGCCGGTCACACTCACCCAAGTTCGGGCTTTTCTAGGGCTGGCATCCTATTACCGACGCTTCATCAAGGGGTTCGCCGGTATAGCGAAGCCCCTCACGAACCTGCTGAAGAAAGAGGAACAACTGATCTGGACGCCGGAATGCGAAGCGGCGTTTCAGGCGTTGAAGGAGGCTCTGACATCTGCTCCTGTGCTGGCGCGCCCCGACCCGACAAGACCGTTCGCACTGTACACAGACTGGCAGCCTCATGCGATATCGACGGTGCTGACTAAGCACGGGGCGGACGGAAGGGAACACGTCATTGAGTATGCGTCCAAGACGCTGAGCCAGACGCAGGCTAATTACGACGCGTGCAAAGGTGAATGCCTGGCGGTGGTGTGGAGGATCCAGCATTTCCGACCGTATCTTTACGGCCAGAAATTTGTGTTGGTAACGGATCATCAGCCGCTGCTGTCCCTACGCAACAACACGGACTACACGGGGACGCTGGCCAGGTGGGCGGTGCGTCTGCAAGACTATGACTTCGACATCCGCCACCGTGCCACGCGGCAGCATGGTAATGCCGATGGATTAACACGCCTCCTGCCGCCCAACAAGTGTCCCGCCAACGAGCGACTCATTCCGTGGAGGCCAGAAGTCGCGGCGACGAAACCGCACTACGGAGAGCTACACGTGCTGCGCAAGAACGACGCCTGAGTCCGAAATGGAGGTTTCGCCGGAGATGGCAGACGCGATCTCTTTGCCCTCATCCAACTCCCTCGCTCTCTCTTCTAGTCCCTACTCGTCCCCTGAAACGCATCTAAGTCCCTGTTTCTTCTGTACTTTGCCTATGGTCCCGGACCAAGAAGGGTCACATCCGGGAGGGCCCAGTTTTCTTTTATGGGTACAGTGTAGTCGGTGTCATACGGTCAAATCTCCCGGACAGTGCGTTAAGTACCGAAGTGAAAAGACATGGGTCTGTCCCAACTGTAGAATGTACCAAGTCCCTACCGAGAAGCGGTATCTGGACGCTAGAACAGCCGACGGATTTGCGCCAAGTGCCCGACGGGCAGAAGCCTGGACGGACCTTCTGTTGCTACGGAGTCTGTCAGGCGTCGCTGTCATAACTTACTAAAGCTGAGAGGCGGAGAGTTACGGAGCGGGCGCAGGACTATCGTTGGCAGGGACCGACGTTACAAAAACGAAAAGTCGATGATGACGGAGGGTCTAGCTGGTTGACGGTTCCACACCCTCTCGCTAGGTTCAATTGGACACGAGCCGCTCATGAAGAGGATGCGGTCCATTTCGCGGTCAAGTACACGGAAAAAGCCATAGAAAAGAACGGATGGTACTGGTCGGGAATCCGGGAAGATGTGAAATACATCGTTCAAAATTGCGCGGCCTGCGCGGCGGACAAGGCGCCGGTACAGATGCCTTGGGCGATGGTACCCACTCGTATAGAGCGCCCCTTTCAGAGGGTTAGCATCGATACGACGGATATCAACGCTCCGAGAGGTCTCGTCGATCAGGGAGAACTCGATGTTCTTTTAGTAGCCGTCGATCATTTCTCAAAATGGATCGAGGCGTACCCTATGACCAGTCGGAATTCGCAGGAGGTAGCCTAGTACGTAAATCGATTTTTGTGCATGCATCTAGACGTGGAAGAGGTACACATGGACAATGGGTCGGAATTTCAAGGCGAAGTAGAACGTCACCTAGTCAGGGCGGAAGTTAAGATTATCTACTCGCCGGGCCATTGGCCTCAAGCCAATGGTTTGGTAGAGAATGCCAACCGACTGATTAAGACTGCCCTTAGACGGAATATCACTGCGGGAGACACCCGGCCCTGGTCGGTCATTGTCGACCACATCTTGGCCGTTTATCGGGCTACCCCACACGGTAATACTGGGGTGTCCCACTTTCAACTGAGAACCAATAGTGTCCCTCGGGTGCAATCGTCCCCCTTAGTAGGTACGAAAGTTAGAGCAACACGGGCCCAGAACCGAGATAAGGCCCGCCACTACATGGACTTAATGGCTAGGGCCTATCCCCCGTTAGCTCGTCGTCGACAACAGGCCGTAGATTGGACACATCAACGGCAGATCCGTGACTACGAGAATCGACACGCGTCGGCGGGACCACTGCCCCGCTATAAAGTTGGGGACTTGGTGCAGGTACGGAAATCTGCGCGCTCCTCCAAGATCCACCCACGCTACACAGGCATTTACGAGGTCACGGAAGTTGGCGCACAGGGACAGCACGCTGCCGCGCTCCGGTCCTTCCAGCCATCGCTAGGTCCCCTACGGACCCCCGCTCCTGCGAGATCACCCTCTCCTTCTTCATCCTCCTCCTCTTCCCGATCTGCCTCGTCCATTGGTACTGAGAGTTTCAGGGAGCAGGATGAACCATCGCCAGCCGGAGCATGAGCCCCTGGAGCACTTCCAGATGCCGCTTGCAGATCGCTTGTTGCGGCATCGGTTCAATGAGGAAAGGCAGTTGCGGTACGACATCCAGCAGGTGAACGTGCCAGCGCCCGGGGTTGCTGATTTGGCGGCGTACTCGTTGCTTTGCGATCGGTTGACGTATGCGGGGGTGTACGTGGACGTGACGCAGTTGCCTGGCCGGGAGACGACCTGAGTATTCATTGAGTTCCGCGCGCTCCAGGTGGCACCCAACTTCGTGCACAGCGTCGCCACCTTCATCGGAGACTTGACGATCCTACCGCAGCCGAATCGGGAGCCGGCGTGCAGCTTTGTGCGAGAATACGCGGTGGAAGCGGCCAGATCAGTGGCCAGATTGCAAGGACAGGGGGGACATCGATTCACAGCCCACGAAGTGCTGCTGCGTAGGGCAGAGGACGGACCGATTGCGTTGGTGCCGCAGCTTCCCGCGCTTCTCCCTCCCGCTGCTCCTCTCAACTTCCAAGCTATTCCCCCTGTCTCGTACTAAATGCCTCCCTTCTTCTCCTACACCACTCTCCCCTACCAGCTCACRGAGGGCCCATATCCCATGCACGAGTTCTCGAAGTATTTGGTGGAGCTAACTGACGTGGAGCCGCTGCCCTTCGCCGACGAAGATGCGTGGGAGTTGCACCGTGCGCTGTACAAGTCGGTGGCGCTGGGGATGTTCTGGTTCTTCGTGGATCATGAAGACCACTTCATCGGGGAGCACTTCGTCGTCTACTACGTCATCACACGGACCAAGCCAGCGGAGAAGGAAGGGACGGTGGCGCTGTACCCCTTCGCCCAGCTCCAGACGATCGATCCGGGATTGTTGGAGCTCATACATCTTGAGATCCTCTCCATTGCGCAAGTGATCGCGAGCGAGGAGGAGGAGATCCAGCCACGATTGCGGACGGCGACGGCCCCGCGGAGGACATACAATGCGGTCGTCATCCCGGATTTCATTGCGCAGCGGGCGGAGAGGTTGGAGGACTTCCCGGAGGAAAGGCCGTTGCGGCCTCCCTCGTCGTATCCTCGACCAGCGCCACCAAAGGCCCCTAAGAAGACGCCGAAGAGGAAGAGACGCCACCCGTCGCCAGGAGCGCAAGGCAGCAGGATCGGCGGCGGCGAGGAAGTGATTCAGACTGCGCGTGCGGCGACGCTCGTTAAGGAGATAGTCGTGCCATCGCCGCCCTTTCCGCGTGTGCCCGATCTCAATCTTCATGGAGCCGGGTCATCATCATCAGCAGCAGCCGGAGGAGGAAGCCGAATGGGATTTTCGGATCCCATATCCAGACCCCCCGTCCTCACGGGACCTCTCCGTTCCCGCCAGCCACCCCGGGGTGCCCCGGTCACTGACATTAGTAGTTCCTCCGAGCCGGGCGGTCCATCCAACAGAGGTGGACTTCATGGTGGAGCCCGCCACCATTAGGCCATAGCCATTGCGGGGGCGCCGCGCCCTGATCCGGCCTGGGAGCCATATCTGACACCCCCTTTTCAAGGGTGTATTGCAGCGCAATTGGTGGGGACGCTCATCTACGAGACCGGGCAGCATCCCAATGCAATGTACCACTTCCTTGTCTTCGCGGCGCAGAAGCGAGAGCGGCGGCCTTACACCGAGACTCATGTGGTGATGACGGGTACGGGGCCCCGATCGGTGCGCAAGCGGGTGGTGCGAGCGGTGGCGGATCTGGCGCCACGTGTCTTGTCTCATGTGCCGGGGGCCTTCCTCTATCCCTCGTTCGTCCAGCACCACTTCCGGGGGGAAGATGCGCCGACGACTCCCGCGGCAATGGTCGCTTTTCTTCCACCTATTCCGCCCCCTCTCAATCCCGACATCGATCACTTCCTCTGATCACCCTCGTCTACCTCTCCCCGCTTCTCTCCTTCTC